AAGGGGTGTTGTTTAGGAAAGGGCAGGATTATTTATAAGGCACAGGGGGGAAAGAAGGGCCAAGACACAGAGTGAGCCAAGATGAGTAGTTTCCTGCAAAGCTCACTAAGGAAGACAAGAAATCAGAATGACAACTATTTAGAAAGGCCAAGGAGACTGGTACAGAAAGACTCTCTGTGGGCAGTGAACGTCTTGCTGAGCTACATAGCAACAACTCTGAGACAATTTAAATTTTTTTTCTTTTTCAGAAAAAGGACTGATCAGGAAAACACACACACACACACACACACACACACACACACACACACACACACACGAAGAAACCAAAAATTGAGGTGGTAACGAGGAGCAGAGGCAGGCAGCGGTCTGACTGGGGAAATCGGTGAGTGAAAATGTGTAAAGAGAGAAGATATAGACCCACAATTCTCCCAGGATTGTGTGGGTGTCTGGGTGGTTGGGGAGTGGAGAGGCATCAAGACTGGGAGAAGAATGGGGGCTACAGAGGTTAGAGGGCTGTCTATAAAATAACGCCCATCACCAGTCACCACGGATGGCAAACCACAAAGGATTTTCTTTTCTTTTTTTTCTTCAGGAGAAAGACAAAGGGAATTTTAAGTAGGATTAAGTAGTAGTAGCTTTCAGAACTCAGCAGCTCTCAGAAGCAATAATAACTACATAAATAGCTAAGTGGATGGTAGGAATTACCTCATTTTGGAATGTGGCCAGTGTATCAAAGTTAACAATAACATCACATCTTTTTGAAAGCTTTCCTGAGATTCTAGGGGGAGAAATCATCTCAGAAAACGGTTTGCACCGAATTAATTTTAGGAAAAGAATGTTCCTCACTGCTTGAAGACTCTCCATCTCCTGAAAATGGATAAGACAGAAGCTCTACCCTGCTGGGAAGCAGTCTCTTATCCATGTAAATACATTGGCAATATTGCCCCCAACGGAAGTAAATAATTGCCTTCACAGATTACCATAGCCTCATGTAAAATTTTACTCAAAGCATAACACACAAATGATATTCTGAATGCAACAAAAAGAATAGTGCAGCTATAGTTTGCACTGAGGGTTCTAACTTTTTGATGAACTGTGGATGATTAAAACCTGAGCAGAATTTTGAAACATGCCACACGTATATACGTTTAGGCTGAATTAGCTTAAGTTGAATATATTGGAACTATAAATAATTTTCAAACCTCCTCTGCAGATGGATATTCTTCACTTTTTTCCTTTTAAGTACAATTTGTACATTTAAGTACATTTCCTTTTAAGTACTAATGTGCTAGATCATCTTCTTTTCTAAAACAAAGGTGAAAATTGGTTGCTAACGGTAATTCAGAAAACAAATATCTTTTTTCCCATCTGGAAATACTCTGTTACTTTTCCTTAAATTTTTATCTTAATTTAGACATTATACTGTTATCTTTTTACCCACAAACAAGTTATTTCAGTAGCACCCTCAATGAAATTTGCATGAAAATCTGTTTACTGACCTTGTTCCCTGAAGGATACATTTGCCCTAGCACTTGGAGAACATACCGTTTTCATTGGTCTAGAAATAGCTCTAATTGGACAGATTGTTACAATTTTAGCAACACCCAAACACATCAAAGAATCTTCAGCAGACAGCCAACCAATCTGGATCCAACCCCAACCCAATTTCCACATTTGTGCCTGAAATAAATATTCAATACACATCATCTACAGATATTAAAAGAGTTTCTACATATATGAACACTTTTGGAAAATAGGAGTCTGACAGAAATTACTAAAAAAAATAAACTAGGTGACCAGCTAATGGCTTATTTTCTACCAATTTCATTATATTCTGTGCTATATATCAAGGACTATGAAGTAATGTGTTTTCTAGTTAGCTAATCAGTCATAATTCAAAATTACACATGAATGAAAGATGGTACTTCATACTCTTCTCTCAAATCCTTCTCTGAACATTATACTCCTCATTTCCATGATTCTCACATGCATTCTCTTCTGCAATCAGCTGGATCCCTGCACTTCAGCGTTCTGCCCTAGTCCTGTGCCCTCCTGACCCACCTTTACCTACAGTCTGGATGCCCTTTGTCAAAGTGCTCTTGTTACCCAACATCCTCCCTCTGAGAAGCTTTGAGTTGAACAACTTGTTCAGTCACATAACTACTGACCTTTGGTAATAGTTATTTCAATTTAAATTTCAGTTAAGGGATTTTTCTCCACACCTCCCCTTCTATAGGTATTTGCATACAACTTTATCTTTCAAAGAAACATTATTTAAATGTAATTATCAATCATTTTATTTTCACTTGGTTCCCTGAAGTTTCCACTTATTCCCTTTTTATTCCTTTAAGTTTCTAACAAGACCTGCCTCTGGAATTAATTTATTTCTCCGGGCATCTGTTCTAAAGTCCCCTAGATACCATGTTTGTCTGAAAAATGCTTAAGAGAGCTCTTCTTCCATCTTTGGTTTTGCTCTTTGCCAAGGTTCTTTTTTTTTCTTGCTTTGTTTTGGGGCCACACCCAGTGATGCTCAGAAGTTCCTCTTGGCTCTGCACTCAGGAATCACTCCTGGTGGTGCTTGTGGGACCATATGGGATGCCGGGATTGAACCTCAATCCTCTGCATTCAACCAAGGCAAAGGCCCTACCCGCCATACTATTATTCTGGCCCTTTCCCACGCATCTTGAAGAAACATTCTGTCCTCCACTTCCTCCATCCAAACTCTTCCTGAAGCCCCGACTACTCGAATTTCTCAACAATGCTTCTTTTGGGTGGGGGTTGCACACTTGGCAGTATTTAGGGACTACTCCTGATACATTCTGAGGGACCTGATAGTGACCCGGGGCTCCTGCATGCACATGTGAAGCATGAACTTCAATCTACTGAATTTATTCCAGGCTCCATCTCTCAGACTTCTAATCCTGGACCCACAAATCTCTGCAACACTAAAACTGCAAGTATTTATCTCCTCTCTTGGGGACTTAAAACATCATTCTGCCAGATCCACCATGCACCCTTTCCTTTCCTGGTTCCTTCCCTAAAGTCTTCATTTGTCAGTCCTCAACTCTGCGCATTTTCCTAGAACAGTTATATCTATGCTCTTGTCCCTAACTTCCAGCTTTCACTCTCTCTGCCACATTCACATCTGTATTTTTAGAGCTGAGCTCACACTAGGGTCCTAGACCTTCTGCTGCCACCTGCTGGCCAGTTCCATAGGGTTCGCAAAGCAAATCGTAAGAACTCGACCTTTCATTCTTTCCTCTAACCACATTACTGGTTTCCTAGTTTCCTAGAACTCATTGACATATATTAAACAGAATTTCCATCACTTATAACTCCAGTGTTTTTCACTCACCATGTACTGTGCATACTCACATCTGTGTGTTCAACTCCTCTCAGCTTAGCTAGTCTAATGCCCTCTTGATTGACCTTGCTCCTTTTTTCTCCCCTAATTTTCAATCCTCCTTACACTTTTGCCAGGATATTGATGGGAAGGTACCCAAGCAATAAATACCCTGGCTTAAACACTTCAAGCATTTCTAACCTATGAGTGAGATAAATTCTATTTTCTCTTCAAGTCTAGATAATTAAGAACTTGAATAGAAGCCTTTGTATGTATAATCTGCCCCTGACAGTCCCCCACCACCCACCAAACTCCCTACAACCCCCGACACCCCTTTTATCTAATCAGCTACCTCTCCTTCTCACTCAATGTCCTTGCATTCTCTCCAGCCTCCCTATACGTTGGACAAAACAGGATTGACTTGAATCCTGGAATTGGATGCCATCGTGTCTTCACATGGCTGCCCACTTCCTGCCATCACATCTCAGCTCCTTTGCGAAACTTCTTTGACTCAATCCCCCAATTTCTGTTCTCCTTTTCCCAGCAATACCTGGTCACTCTTTTGTCTTTATTCCTTGTATTTCTCCTAAGCACATGTCAGCACCTGTCAACACCTACAGTCTCTGTTCCTGTAGATGTTGACAGAATTGGCATTTGTCTCCTTCTGGACCTAGGACTTGTCTCTCTTCACTCACTGCAGACCCTGGACAGTGCCAGGCCCACAGGAAGCCTGAGGCAGATATCTCTACAATGTGGCTCCAAGGACTCATGCTCATCTTTCCTCTGTTTATGTGCCTGTTCTAGGATTATAATATCACAGTTTTATTTGAACAGCTATTTCAAATTTTGTAGATTTTAGCAATGAATATTTATGCATCTTTATTTAAGTGATCCTATTATTCTAAGGATATTTTTTATGATGCTAGGACAATTTACTTTAAATGAAATTCCCATAAGTTAGTTTCTACTATACACAAATGACTAAAAAAATTGATGCTTGCAACTGACCTTCTACCTATGACCTTGGTAAATGTACTACTTGTTTAATTTTTTAAATCTATAGTTTTTTTGTACAAAATTATGTTGTTCATAAATACAATTTTATCCATATATTAAAATTGCAAATTTAACATGACAAATATTTTAATCACAATTTTTATAATGCATCAAAAATCACAGTTACTAAGCAATATAGGCTATATGGAGATTTATATTATAAAGGACATGGATTGAAAGTATTGTAAGACACTGTCATAGCAATTTATTATGATCCATCATCCTGACTACATTTTGAGCTCTGGAGAGCAATATAATGTCTTGCTTATTTGTCTATCCTACCAAATCTAATAAAACGCTTGCCCCAGAGTAGACACTCTAAAAAATGTTTTTAATAGAATTGAAAACTCATTGTCAGGTACATAGAATAAATACACTGTAAGAACCAATGGGGGACCTTAAATTTGTTGGATGACAATTATATGCTTAACCTATTTTTTTTAAAAAAAAACTATATCAAGATAAACCAGAGAGCAGAATACACCTTCATAATTATTCATATAGAGAACAGAAAATACCATTATCATTATTCGTATACAAATGCTTTATTTTTCAGGTAATTATAAAACAAATATACCAGGGAAAATATGAATATGGTTACCTGTACACTTCTTTATGTGACTATTTCTTTTTCCATGTGATCCTAACTTGCATCCAAAATTTTCTTCCCAAAATTCTGCAAACCAGACATTTCTTCGATTATTGGCAAGAGTTCGGCTTCTAAAGTATCGATCAAACCCTATTTTAAAGAAGAGAGATCTGGTTTTAATATTCTTTAAAAATCAAAACCAAATATTTTGGTGATTCTACATCAATATTATGTTACAATACTGCATGAAGAAGAAAACAAAGCATACAAACACAGTAGCACCCAGTTATCCAGAGTAAGGCTTCCCTCACTCCAAAAGTCCTAGGAAATAAATGGACAATCTTTCTACTCCCACATTCCACTAGTAGGTAACTGACATTAGGACTGAGAATAAAAGGAAAACCTGTGTCGACATCATCCTCATAAGTGCTACTCATCTCTGCATCCCCTTGTATCAGCCATCAGTGACCTCATGCTCAATATTTAAAACCAGCTCAAAACTTTCTCATTCTTGACTCTTCTTTTCCTAGCAGAAATTAAGGTTTCTATGCTTTTACCTGCTTCAAAATTTATCTGTACAATATGCTTCACTTTCAGCTAATTTAATAAACTAATCAGTACTAATTTAATCTTCAGGAATCACGAGGAATGGGATAGAGTCAGCCTATTCAAGGAACTACTTTGAAGGAAGAGCTCTTTTATAAAGAGTGCTATTCCAAAGTATAACAATAGGGGTGGGAATTGTAGCCATTTTCAATACTTTAGGAAAAGACACTGGGAAGACAGACTGCCTCTCAGAGCTGCTCTACATATGTCCTGCTTTCTTCATTTACCCACCAGGTCAGTCCAGTATCATATCTTCATTTTCTATTAACCGACCACTCATCCTTTTTACAGTTATATAATGATCATATATATGCCCATGGAATTATATAAACACACAGGGCAACTGCTAACATCACAGAACTACCCAAGATCGAAAACAGTTCTCCTTCTTAATAAAAGCCAAATATGTACACTTTTTTGAAAAAAAAATAAAAGGGTAAGTTAAATGACAACTGACTTGGCAATTCTTCCCTTGGAGCTAAGAATTCTGTATTAGTCATCAATAATGTATGCTTTCCACCATACACTGATATTGTCTTTTTGTCTTCTTGTTTTTAAGTTTTGATTATTGGAATGGAAAAAAAAGGTCTTTCTTGTGTGTCCTTACCGTCAATTGATGCTCTTTTGGGCAAAATTGTCACAGCCCCTTCTGCAATCTCCTCCTGTTGATAAACAGGTGCTATTTTGGATCCCCAACTATCAGAGCCAATCCAGAGAAAATGGCCACTTTGGTTTAATTTTTTTGCTGCCTCCAATATCCTCCTATACAGATCAAAAGGAAAAAAAATATCCCATTTATCAAGAAACCCTATGCTTAAGAATATTACAAAATTTGTTATATCATGCTATATACCACGATAGGTCTCTGTTCAATAATTAGTCATTTATTCTATGAATTCCTAAAGGAAATATACTTGACACCAGCACCTAGTAATAATTTTTCTCCTTCACTTCACTTGAATTATTATGCTCATTCTTATTTTTCTCATTTCCTTCAGATACCAGGTTTTACTTTGTAGAAATCTTAGAATTATGAATTAGAAGCTGTTGTGTCATTATACAACATAAGGTAGCATGCAGTTGCATGAAAATGTTCTAATTCTGGTAAAATATCACAAGATTTTATATTCAACCTAAAATATGTTAAGAAGAGAGGCCACACATTTGATCCTACATAAAAGAAGGAATCAGCACCTGATGTCATCTTCGTTGGCAAACATAATCACTGCTCGAGCATTAGGTGTTTCTAGTAGGCGTTTAATAATTTTTTCAAATTCTCCAGGTCTCGGTTCACGTGGGATTTTCTGAGACTGAGCAATGCAAACGCCACCTATTTTTTTAAAAAAAAAACAGAAAGTGACTCAGAAAAGGCGTTTTTTTAATTATCAAACTTAATGAGGTCAGCTACTTTTCCAAAGCACATGATTTAGTGTGAGATATTGCTTCATAAAACATTCTTCATTCTCACCTAATCAAAGTAATATTTATTCACCTTATTAAATATGTATCAAATGAGTTGCATTTAAATATTATTTCTATGCATGCCTCTTAAAAATTGTAAAATGAGAGTGGAGAGTAGAAGGAAGAGTGGCTACTATTGTTTGCTTAACCAAAGTCAAAGCATAGTTACCTGGATTAATAAAAATCTGAATATATCTCATGTGAGAGACTATCTATTATGTAGTGAGGTATGTCCCAAGATTTATTATAAACCTCCTTCAAAGATGCTTTGATTTTACAGATCATATTGTTGCCATAAGATTTTAAGTATTAGCATCATGATATATTATGAAACAAAAGATCATCAAGACTGAAACACAAGCAAATACAAAGATGCAAAACCTCAGTTGACCTCAATCTTCACCATAAAAATAAAAATGGTGAGAAGAAAAGTGCCTGTCACAGACATCATGGGGGGGGGGGGACTGGAGACATTGGTAATGGGAAATGTACACTGGTAAAGGGACAGGTGTTGGAACATTTGTGATTGAAACCCAATTATGAACAATTTTTAATACAAAAAAGGGAAAAAGAATGACAGAAATCCCATGTCACTCATCAAAACAATAGAGAACTCTTCTTCGGATCACGCTTTCTCTTAAGGCAAGAGAGCCCAACAAGAAAAGACATTTAGCCTATGAACACTGTATTTCTTGAAAGATAAAATGGATGAGAATCACTGATGTGGAAGCCAGCCTGGAATGGAAAAAACAATGGGATGGGCCAAGAATCTACACTAGAATTGAAAAAGGGAAATGATGATTAAAAGGCAATGCTATCAGTGCTGGGGAGGTAAAATAAAAAGATTTTATTATTTCTCTGTTAACTTAGCACAGTGAGTTTTGTAACATTTGTCCAGCTTTACTGAAGTGTGATTAACATAAAAGCATTGTCTATTTTCAAGATATGCTGATTTGATTGAAGTAGTGGGAAATGGCAAATCATGACTTCAAGACGATGGCCTTTGTGACAATTTGGGTGATGCCTCCTTTAAAAAGAACGTAGCCAAAAGTATATGGAGGAACTAATGATTTTGATTCTCTGTCTTCAATCCATCCACGGTACGTTGAACTGAAAAAAGTGGGTCTGAAGCCAAAAAGGAGAAATGTAATTACAATTTTGTCAGGTGCCGATATTGTAGGTAGTTGAAGTGAAGAAATCACTCAGAGAGAATATTTATTTATTTATTTGCAAGTTGACACATTTCTTTCCATTGATCTAACACAACAAAATTTGACCTTGTAATTTTTGTTACTGTAGTTCAGTTTTTATTCTTAGAGTTTAGGTTTCCGATAGTGTTAATATTCCTTGTTTTAATATACACAGTTACTGCACCCCAGAACTACCAAAGGGCCCCAGAACTTCCACCACTGTCCTTATATTACTTCTAGTTCATCTCCTCATTCCTACCCTACCTCATTAATCCTAGCTTTTGCTTGGTATTTTCAGTTGTGTAATCCAAGGACAAGTTTTGTTATCATGTGACACTATTTCCTTTTTTGTTTGTTTCTCAAAGAGAATATTTTTCATTTTATTTATTTTTTATTGAATCACCAAGAGATACTCAATTACAAAGTTGTTCATGATTGGGTTTCAGTCATCCAATACTCCAACTCTCAACTCTTCACTAGTATAAGTTTTCTACCACCCATGTCCCCACTTTTCTTCCCACCACCCCACCTCACCTGACAGTCAGCCTTGACTTGACAGCAGACACTTCTGTCTCTCTCTCCCTCCCTCCCTTTATCTCTTCCTCCCTCCTTCTTTCTCATCCTTCCTCCCTCTTTCTCTCTCCCTCCTTCTCTCTTCTTCTTTCCCTCTCCCCCCTCTCTCTCTCTTTCTGTCATTTGCACTCTCTCTCTCCCTCCCTCCAGATATAATATTTTAAGCAACAATGAAAAAGGAAATGGTCAACAATGAAACTGAAAAATCACCAGCTATGAAAAGAGAGCTAGGGAACAAAACTAGAAAAGAGTTATCACATATGTTGAGGAGAAAAGTTTGGAAACAAAGTCTAGTGATAAACTGGGCTATGCATGATGTTTTTAAATATCAAGCAAGGGGGTCATTGAGGTAACTCAATGGGCCGGATCACAAGTATTGCACTTAAGAGACCAGGATTCTATTGCTGTCACCACATGTTTCCTGGAGCCACCACAGGAATTATTCCCTAAGAAACAAGTGAGATTAACAATAAACTATGGGTGGAAACATGGGATAACTGTATAAATTCAAGTCTGTTGTTTATAAATTCAGAAGTGGTTATTTCAAAATATGACCACCATTTTAATCAAAATGTTTATATTGTTTAAGCATCCTATTGAAGACAGTTCATATCTTAAGTATCATTTTGAGATTACTATCAACGCAATAGCCAGAATTACAAAGGCTGGAAAAAAACCTAAGCTCTCTCAGATGACCAAACCCGACAGAATTTAGACAGTGATTTCATCTAAATTCACAGATATTCATTCATGAAGGACCCATTTTAAACTTCTATTTCTAAAAAGCTGAGTTGGGTTTGATTTTATAGTTTGATCATATTTTGATTCCTTTACCTCACCTTCTACTTTTTTTATGGTCAGGTTATGTTTTTCTAGAAAGAAGAACTGCACAATTACTTCACTTCAACTGAACACACACTTCCCAGAAAACTGCTTAATATAGCATTTTTCTCTTGGATACCATACAATTATTTTGATATTGTACAGTGGATTGCTTCTGAGGTGATTGGAGTTAGAAGACAGTATTCTTTTCTTCAGTCTCAAATTCATTCACTTTCTACCTTCACATCAGTCAAGAACTCAGACAGCTAATCCACTCATTAGGTACTTCTGCCCTACCACGCTTTAGAAACCACAGACCTCTAGAAATTGTCTGTCCTCAGTGATCTTATGACATAACAAATAGAAAGATACACATATAAGAAAATCTGGACAAGTGAGGCTGGAAAGATAATACAGGTAAGGTGCATTGCCTTGCATGCAGCTAACCCAGGTTTGATCTCCACATCAATTCTTACGGTCTCCTGAGCACATATAGGAGTGATTTCTGAGTGCACAACCAGGAGTAAACCCTGAACACTGCCAGGGGTGACCCCAAACTTAAAAAACAAAAAAGAAAATCTGAACCAGAATATAAAATTGTTTCACAGTGAATGATAATCACGTACACTAAAATCACATACACTAAGGAACAAGTTACCCACCAAAACTAGTTATGACTTCATAAACAGAGTCTATATAAATAATTAGAAGTTGGTTTAAAATACAGTGAAATTCAGTCAAAGAGAATAATCAAACATATGTTTTCCTCAAACACTAATTATTTATGATTTTAGTTTTAAAATACATTCTCTGACTCAACTTATATTTCTGGGTGGATGGAATAAAAAGGAGTTTCTTTCCATCAGATAAAAATTATATTTTATTGCATTTCTTACCATATCTCACTCAAATAGTATTGGTTGTGTACAATTTATTAGCTTTCCTATTCTGCAGGTTTATTTAGTTCTGTAAGGAATAATTTTTTTAACCTTACCACTTGGGAAGTTGCATGAAGAATTTATAACCAGCATTTTTAAAAAAATAATGTCATGTCTGATTTCCTCACGTATATATTTTTCCTTATGATTGTTAAATCAAAATTAAAATATAATTTGCTGAACCGAATATTTTTTATGTTCTCTACTTTATACTGGATCCCACCATGCAATATCATTCACTCTATAATACCTCATTAGTTCAAATGGTCATACTCTTAGGCACATCCCTGATGAGAAAACTAAGACCAGAAACATCAACATCTAGCAAGAAACTGGAGAAACATTCAAAGCCAGATCTGTCTGACTCTCAGTCTCAATTTTTTTCCATCTCGCCCATCCATAATCAATTCTAGCTCTTAAATGTTTAAGAGCACTGATCTCAATCAGGGATCATATGATAACTTTGAGCTTTCAGAATGTTCTAAAGAGGTCACAGGTAAAAAATTACGTAAGTTCAGGGCCAGAGCATGAGACTAAGGAGCCAAACAGTAAGAGAGGGTTTCAGAATAAGGGGGCCAAAAAAAAGTCAGAAGAGGCCATGGTCAGAAAAAGGTCGAGAGACACTAGTTTAGAAGATACAAATGTTTGATGAATAAAATACAGCAACTTTAAAGATTCCGTAAGAATCCAGCAGGTTGTCCCTTTTATATCTAGTTGACAATGATGTAAATACAGTATTTCTATTAAATAATAAGAACTTAAGATACTTTTTTCCATATACCTATAGGATAATATAAATATCTATAGTGTATAACCAGATGGCCCTCAACACTTTGCAGTTGTCTCTACGAATGTATATCAGGAAGACTTCTGAAGTTTGTAGTCTTTATTTCACATTTGGACTATGTCAACAGCAATAATTTGGTTTTCTAATTTACTGACTTTTTGTTCACTCCCTACTGAATGTGTTGTCCACTTTGGTAATCACTCTTCTTTATTTGGATTTTTTGCTTTTTTTTTGGCTTTTTGGGTCACACCTGGCAATGCACAGAGGTTACTCCTGGCTCTGAACTCAGGAATTACCCCTGAAAGTGCTCAGGGGACCATATCAGATGCTGGGAATCAAACCCAGGTCTGTCGCGTGCAAAGCAAATGCCCTACCCACTGTGCTATTGCTCCAGCCCCAGGTAATCACTTTTCAACTATTATGGTCACCACAAAATAATCACACAATCTCAATATATAAATAGAGAATTGTGATCCCCTCCCAAACACAAACTATTTCCTACCTAAAGGATTCATGTCTCCTTTTGAAGGAAAACATGATTTTGAAATTCTAGTTTTAA